CAGTTATGAGAACAAAATCAGTGACTAGCGATACAGCACAGTGGTGGTGTGTCAACCAGCACTCGTATGGCCCTGGTCTAACCCCAAGTACCCCCCTACACACACACAAACATACACACAAACAAAAAGAACAATCTGGGCCAAGCATGGGAACACATGCCTAAGTCCCACGTTCAGACGCCTGAGACAAGAGGGTCCTAAGTTCAAGCACTTGTAAAAAAACAAAAACAAAAACTAAGAATATTTAGGCAGCCATGTTGGTGAGACTTTATGCAGCTTCTCAAGAATCTCACCAGCACAGCTGCCTAAACATGAACAGAGCAAGGACAACACTAGTAGACATTCTGACATGGATGGGGAGAGCCAGGAGGCCGAAGTCCTACACAAAGAACACAGGCAACACAGGAGGGGAGTTGAGAGGGGGGAGCAGTCTTCTCCAGGGAGGAGCACAACATTAGGATTTCCAGTAGCGAACAGTGAGCCCTGAAAAGGTTCATACAAGTAGCATTGTGCAGACCGGGCTGCTTGTATTTAGGTGTGTGTGTGTGTGTGTGTGTGTGTGTGTGTGTGTGTGTGTGTTGTGTGTGTGTGTACGTGCATGAGGGTGCATGCGTGTGCACGTGTATGTTGTAGTATGTATGTATTTAGGTGTGTGTACGTGTGTGTGTGTGTGCATTTGTGTGTAGAATGTATGTATTTAGGTGTGTGTGTATGTGTATGTGTGTGTAACATGTATATATTTAGGTGTGTGTATATATGTGTGTGTGGTATGTATGTATGTATGTATGTATGTAACAGCAATTTAAAAAAGAGGCCCTGAATTTGAAAAAGAGCAAGGAAGGTTAGATAGGAATTGTTCAGAGGGAAGAAAGGAAAGGGTAAAATGATATAATTTCAAAAACTCATTTTTAAAGAACAAAAAGTAAACAAAGACAAGCCATACACTGGAAGGAAGTCCTTGGAAATCTACCTAGATTAGAAGGCATCTACTCAGAATGTACAGGGAATTCTCAAACCTCGGCACCAGAGTGTGAGCAATGTGTTTCCAATGGGCACGAGGCATAAACAGAGAGTTCCCAGAGCTGCCAGGTGGGAATGGGCACTCGGACAATGCCAAGTCCAACCATAGCACACTGTCTGACACACCTACTGAAAAGATGGCAGCTGACAAAACCCAGCCTGGCAGACGAGGGCAGACTGTAGGGGAACTGGTGCAGGTGGCAGCTTCAGAAGTCAGTTGCCCAACTTCTCAAAAACTCCTAGTCTAGTCACTCGTCTCGCAGGGCTTTATTCCAGAGAATTGGAAGCATGTGTACATACAAAGACTTGGCCATTTACAGTCACCTTCTTCATGACAGCCCCAACTGAAACAAGTCACATGTCTGTCCTCGGGGACATAGCCACCTGTGGCACACTACTCGGAAACCAAGAAGAAAAAACTCACTGATGCACACAACACAGATGTGATGGTTAGTTCTAACTGGCAACTGAACACAACCTAAGACAACCTGGGAAGTGGGTCTCCATGAGGGATTTTCTGGCTCAGGTTGGCCTGGTGGGTTCAGGAGGCTTGTTGTGATTATTTGAGTTGATGTGGGAAAACCCAGCCCACCATGGGCAGCACCAGTTCCTAGTCAGGGAATGCTGAACTATCTGAGAGCAGAGAAATTAAACTAGGCGCAAGCAAGTAAGCAGGTGAGCGAACACGCATGTGAGTGTGCATGTGTGCATGTGTGCAAGTGCACATGCGTGCATGCATTTCTCCCTGCTCTTGTGCATGTGTGCGTGCATTTCTCCCTGCTCTTGTGCATGTGTGCGTGCATTTCTCCCTGCTCTTGTGCATGTGTGCGTGCATTTCTCCCTGCTCTGGACTGTGGATGCGATGTGGTAGCTGCTTCCAGTTGCTACAACCCTGCTATAAGGGATTATAATCTGGAATGGTGAGCTGAAATAAAGTCTTCCTCCCCTAGGCGGATTTTTATTGCTTTATTTTTATTGTGTTTTATTATAGCATGTGAATGGATAACCCCCAGAATAATCAAGGTGATTGGGAAAGCTAACTTCAGAGAAGAGCACCTGGCACACAGAGTGTGAGTTTGTTTCCCTCACTGTCTAGAACGGGCAAACAAATATGCAATGACAGAAAGCACATTCGAGGTACACTAGGAATTGGAGGGGCAGAGTAGACAGAAGAGAGAAATTGTAAAGAGATGACAGAAACTTTGGGGGTGATTATCTCTCGATGATCTTAGTTCTACTACTGGTGTCATAAGTATATATGTCAAAATTATTTAAATTATGTCCTAAAGATGTATAGTTTATTAAAATTCAGTTATATTTCAATAAAGCTTTAACAAAAAAGTTATTTAAAGAATTAAGAGAATTAGCAAATTTTTAATGATACCACTGAACAACACACCCACCTGTGGCACAAACAGACAAAAGTTAATTAAGGTAGAAGACATGCAAGTCAGACCTGGCAGTGCACACTGTAAGCCCACACTCAGGTGGCTGAGGCAAGAGGATCACCAGAGCATATCAGCCTGGGCTACACAGTGAGACCTTGTTTCCAATAAAACAACAACAAAACCCAGAATGATAGCTTAGTTGGCAAAGTGCTGGTTGCACAAGCATGAAGACTTGAACCATACAAATACCTGAGCTGTATTTCCAGAACCCACCTACAAAACCAAAAAACAAACAGGCATGGTAGCATACACTTGTAAGCCCAGGTCTGGGAAATCAGACACAAGCAGATTCCTGGGAAAGGTAAAGGCCAATGAGGCCCTGCCTCAAAAAAAAAAGTGAACTTGAGAACAAACCTAAGGCTGTTTCCTGGCCTTCATATGCACAGGAACACATATGCATGTGCACACATATGCACCACACACAAGAACATGACTACACGTGTGTACGTACTCACAGAGAAGTGGAAGAGAAAGTCTAAGATATTTTACTTTCATGTTGTCAGAAAAAAGGAGAAGGTAGGATGGAAACCATATTTGAGAAATGATGGCGAAGAATTTTTAGGAAGATCATCAAAGCCCAGTGGATTCCTGATAGGATCCATAGAAAGTAGCATCTAACTTCAAACATCACAGTAAAATGATGGAACACAAATACTAAAAGAAGAGTGTTTTAAGGGTGGCTGGAGATAAAGCTATTCCATGGACAAGGCTTGCAGTGGACTTCTCAACCAAAAGTAGAAACTAAAGATGGTGGGTTGATGCCTTGAGAAAGAGTGTTTACCTAGAACCCAGTAGCCAGAAGAAATATTTCCCAACACCCGAATGAAATGCAGCTATTTCAAACTGACGACAGGCAGAGCAGGCTTCTTCTGTGCTAGAATTCTGAAGGGTGCACTTTGGGCAGAAGAAAATACCAGAAGGATGGTCCAAAATGAATCAAGGGATGGAAAAGTAGTATGGGTCAACTCTGTAGGACAAGACAAATAAATGGACTTTAAAAACTAAATGCTAGGGCTGGAGAGATGACTCAGCCATTAAAGGCTAGGCTAATAACCAAAAATGTAAAAACTAAATGCTAGACAGAAGAATTCATACCTGACTTTTAACAGATAAAGAATTCATACTATATATACTTTCACAGGATTCTATAAATTATATTCATCATTTAAAAGATTAAAAACAACAAACATTAATGAAGGGTCAGCCTCATTCACAGAATGTAACACCTCATAGCAAATGCCAGGAAAAGATGGGTAGGTAAATAGGTAGGTTGGTAGTTAGAAACAGAGAGAGAGAGAGAAAGAGAGAGAGAGAGAGAGAATTATAGATGATGTAGATGATTGATAGATACATGGATGAATGGATGTGTAGTTGATATAAATGACTGATGGTGGATGGATGGATGGGATAGATGATGGATATATACATAGATGGATAAGCAGATAGACAGACAGACAGACACATGAATAGATGAGCTACTGCTCCTTGCCATGCCTGCCTGCTTGCTGCCATGCTCCCCATCAGGATGGTCACTAACCCTAACTCTCTGGAGCCATGAGTCCTAAATGAAGTACTTTCTTTTATAAGATGTCTTGGTCACGGCACTTTATCAAACAATTAAAAACTAGGACAAGGCCCGTGCTCAGAACTTCCTTGTTCCCCTTTACCCCAACTCCACAGTTCACCTTTAAGACACTTATAGAGCAGTTCCCTGATAGAGATGTCCTCTCTTGGCTTCCACAAGATCAAATATTAAGATCATCAAATTCAAGTGTCTATGGTGGTAGGCGTATGATGCAGCTGAGAAACATAGATGAAAATCCAATGCTGGAGAGTGGTGGGAACTGAGACATGCACAAAGCATAGTTCTCAGCCTACCAGGTGGCTACTACTCTTCTCTGGCCACCTATGGCCACTCAAGAAAGCAAGTCCCGTGTCCTTAGAACTTCTGATAACTTGAGAGGAGTTGGAAATACAGTGTGAAATCTGATTTCTATGATGTAGCTGCAATTTTTAGACAGACCCCTTGCTTGATGAACTTGTCCCAAGAGCTGCTGCTGAGCTTTTAAGGCCTCCTGAAAGGTGTCCCTGATCTTGTCTAAAAGACAGTGGCTCTGATTGTTCAGAGGGTTATTCCCAATTCTTGGGATTGTTGAGAGAGTCTCTTTGCTTCTCTGGATTTTTAGTTTTGTCCTCAAAAGACACATTTGCTTATAAATATTAAGAATGCATTAAAAGCAACAACACATTATCTCAGGACTAAAATTAGATGGATGTATTTTCTACCTGGTTATGTCAAATATTTACTGTGTTCCCTTTCTTAGAAAGACATCAGTAAACAGTTACATGGTCAGTAGGATCATTCTGGGTGGGCTATGGGTAAACAGAGGCAGATCTGGAGCTGTAGAACTCCAGACCAATGGACTAGGAGCCTACCTCTGGGGGTGAGCTGCCATTTGAATGCCACATTCAGTTCCTGGGTTACTGGTACTGGGCCAGCATGGAAGGGGAAGAGAAGGTCACATATCTTACCTCTTGGAATGAAGCCTCAGTTTCTTCTGCTTGCTGTTCTCATGAGATATCTTCACCCTCCTATGGCACAGTCCTTTCTTCCCCTGTGGAATGGACACCTGGTCCTGGGCTCTCATCCCTGAGACTGTTGGGTAGGGAAGCTGAAAACACCAGGCATGTTGTCATCATGTCATTAAAAGCCCAGAGGAGCTGATAATCTGTGAATCACCTAACCCATACACATAACTGAAAATAAAATATTTTTTAAAGTATAGTTTGATTCTTAGATGACCTAGAGAATTGAGGGCAGTGATTTTTTTGGTCTGTTACCAGGAATAAAATGAAGTTTTATGTCTAATCACACTTACCTAGATGCTCTAGTGAAATATTTCTTTGTATGTATGTATGTGTGGCGAGTCTATGGCTCTGTGTCTGAGTGTGTGTGTGTGTGTGTGTGTGTGTGTGTGTGTGTGTGTGTGTGTGTGTGTGTGTGGGTGGTGTCTTGTGGAGGCCAGAGAACAGTCTTGGGTGTCTTCTCTCAGAAACCATCCAGATTGTGTTTTGGGTCTCTCACTGGCCTGGGACTTGCTGCTGAGGCTAATCTAAACCAGCCTCAATGATCTCCCTGTCTCCACATCCCCAGTGCTGGGATTGGACAGGCCTGCTGTCACACTTGGCTTTTCAAATGTGGGTCCTTAGGTCCTCAAACTTGTGAGGCAAGCACTTCAACTCAACCATGACCCAGATGCTAGTACAATAGTTCTTTACCATTTTATTTTTATGAATTAGTTTAGTTTTGTTCATATCTAGGGCCTTTACTTCTTCCCACCCATATGTGGCAGCCAAAGCCTCCTTTGGAAATAGAAAATATCATAACGGTGGTAATATCCACAGAGACAGATCTCCCTCCCTCGACCCCTCCCTCCCTCCCTCCCCACTCACCTCCTTGTGTCCCTCCCATCTCTCTCCCAGCCTCAGTCTCATGCTTCCCAAGTCCCCAGGCTTAGCTGGTGGTACCTCAGGTGCCTGTGTAGTCCCTCCTCCTCCTCCTCTTCCTCCTCCTCCTCCTCCTCCTCCTCCTCCCCTTGTCTTGGTCCTTCCTCCATTGCTCTTGGACAGCAGCACTTTGTTATTCTTACCCTGGAGGCTTCTATCAGGTGAGTGTGAAGCCAAGTGCCCAGGAGCTGCCCTCTGCTGCTCTGCAGACAGGGGTAGGCTGCGACTCAAGCAACACCATGTCAGCTGGGGCTCAGCCTTAAGGGAGGGGAAGGAGCTTGGGGTCTCACAGCTTCTGGGGGTTCCTAAGTGGTGTGACAAGGCCATTTTCTGCTGGCCCAGGGATACACCGTGGGGCCTTGTGAAAGATGTGAGGGAATAATGTGGTTGAGAGGGGAAGCAGGCAGGCAGCCCTTCCTTGGTCTCTGGAGCAGGACCTGCTAGGGCACTCTCAGGCGTCCCCAGATTCTGAGATGATGTCCAAGGGTTCAAGAGATTCCCATATGTTCTAGCTCTTGCTGGTGGGCTGTCTGTGCAGAGGCAATGGATGGCATGGTTCTCACCTACTATATCCTGGGCTACATGGGTATCACATGGGTGAGTTGGCAGAGTAGAGGCTGTCTCCTGGGTGGTGCCGGTGTCGGGGTCAGAAGAGTGCTCAGCTGTGGGGATGCTGCTGTTGGTCCTGTCTGTTTTCTCTCTTCCCATCTGTGCTTCTTCCCTTCCATCCACTGACTTGGACCAGCTAGGGTCCTCTGGGGTACCACCTGCCTCACCTGGGCCTGAGGATGCTCCAGATGGCTGGAGCGTTCCCAGTTCTGATCCAGCAAGAAGGGCCTGTTCTCCAGGCAGTGTGCTTACACAGTGAGAATCTGGGCCTTCCCCAGGCCCTGGAGCAACATGTGGTGAGGGCTTCTCTCCCTGAGGTAGCCTAAGAAGGTACTTGGGAGCAAAGGAGCCACCTGAGACAGCAGCAAGGACGCCAGGATCCCGGGGCTGGGCAGGCAGCAGGGAGTGGAGCCCAGGAGTCCTCGGTACAGAAGGCAGTGTGGGGTCCTTGTCCCCTAGTCCAGGCCACTTCAGGGCAACAGCAGAAACATCTGAGGAGGCATCGGAGGACACCAGGGCCATGTCTACATGCTGGATACTCTCATTGCCTAGAACTTCCACAGAATTACTGTCCTGTTTCTGGGGTGGCTGGGAACCAGCCCACACAGAGCCACCTGAGATCTCAGCTTCCAGAGGACCTGGCTGCTCCTGATGGTCCAGCCTTTCCACCTTCAGTCTCTTTCTCTCCGAGGGTAACTTGTCTTCTGAAAGCTGGGGACCCACAGACATACCACTGGGCTGTCTGAGGACAGTTTGGTTCCCTGGACAGGCTTCTTTTAAAACCTCATGACTAGGGTCTGGCAAAGGCATTTCAGGAGCTTCTAAGTCTTTTCCTTGAAGGGGCGCAGGTTCTGGAGGCAGCTGGCATCCCGGGTCTGATTTCCCACATGGAAGGAGCAGAGGGCTCTTGCTGCTTAGACAGAGGGCACCTGTGCTGCCCAGGGTGGGAGATGACTTGGCTCTGGCCACTGCCTTCAGTTGCTTCGGAAATGCAGTCCCCGGTGAGTGCTCCAGGGACGGACGACTTGACCATGATCCTAGCTTAGGCCCAGCTGTAGGGTCCCCAAGAACATGGATCTTACCATCTTGAGACAGGCCCGCACCCTGCATCCCTTCTTCCTGGGGAGGCAGGTCCAGTTCCAACCCCTGGCCCTGCTTCACCTCCTTGTGTTTCTGTCCTCCCTGCTGGTTGGTCTTCATTTTCTGGTATATTATCTTGAATGTGTCATTGCCATACACCTGCCATTTCTCCTGGGAGAACATCTTTTGCTTCTTCTGGCTACACCTCTTACTGGTTCTGCCCTTGCATGCAGCCCCATCCTTTGCCATGGCTCTCTTCCCATCTTGGTCCTCGGCAATAGCTGAAGAGTCTCCAGTAGGTGTGCACGGCAGGTCCTCCACAGCAGCCTGTCTCACCAGGGCCCGAGGGTGACCACTGGGGATGCCTGCCAAGGTCAGTCCTGGGCGGTCTCCCAGCCGGGATGGGGTGAGCCTGGGACTCAGGGCCTTCTGCATCCTGGGAAAGGCTTCCTGCAGATCCCGTGGCTCTGGCCACAACTTAGAACCCTCAATGAAAGGCAACGAGTTGCTTCTGGTGACAGGGACACACTCCACAGTGGTGGAGAGCTGTGTGGGAACAGAGTGGAAGAAGAGGGGTCTGGTCTTCTCCAGGGGTGTGAAGGTGGAGTGAGCTGGGCTGAGGGCAGCCCTCCTGCGGTTGGGCTCCAGTGCCCGGATGTCAAAGTGGAAGGAATCCTTGTAGGTATATGGCATGGGCAGGTCGATGCTGCCCTGCTTGGACAACACAGTCTTGCGGGGTCGCACGTGGTCCAGCTGTGGGTCATCTACAACTGCTTGGTTGTGAGAGATGAGCTGGGCGATGCGTTCCTCCAGTTTCTTCTTCTCTAGCTCCAGGCTGGCCCCTGCTGTTCCCTGCTCTGCCCTGTTGCCTGCAGGACCACAGCCAGGACCTCCTTCCCCCTCAGACTCTGCGCTGTGCTCCGACAGACTATGCAAGGGGCTGGAGGCAACGGGAGGCTGCTCCACGCTGTCTGAGCGTGACAGGTAGCCCGAGTCTGTGCTCTCACACTTTCTCAGCTGGCCCTCCAAGGCCTTGGAATCCCATGGCTTCTCTGAGCATGTCTCCTGCTGTCTCTGCAGGGAGGATGGCTTTGGTTCAGGCAGCTTCCACCTAGGCTGCGGGCTGGCTAGTGGAAACTCAGGCGACACCATCTGGGTCTGGTCCATGGGGACCTCCCTGTGGGAGAGTGTGGCCCCTAGAGAAGGAGCAGCTTCTGCCATTCTTTCCCTGTTCCTAGCAGCAAGGGTTGGATGGGTACCTGGAGAAAGGGAGTTCTCTGGGGCTCCTTCATCTCCCTGGCTATCCACTGAGGCAGTCTCTCCAGGCCTGTCTCCCTCCTCCAGAAGGCTGCTCCCACTCCCCTCAGACTCCAAGGATAGCCGAGAGTTGTTGAGATGTGTCTGTGTCCGCCTGTGTTTGTATAGGTTGCTCTGAGTCTTAAAGGCGATGCCACAGGTGGTGCACGGGAAGGGTCTCTCACCTGTGTGGGATCGCATGTGTTTCTCCAGCACACTGGGCTTCAAGCAGTCCCGGCCACAGTGCGGGCATAGGTACTTACCCACATTCTTCGCCCTGCCTGTGCTGACCAGTGTGGACCCCACACCCGGGGAGAGTACAGGTAGTGTACCCACAATGTTCACAGTCAGGGCCGGGGTGGCTGGCTTGCCCATCTGGGTGGGACTGGGCCCCTCAGGCTGCAGCAAAGGGCTGAGGATGAAGGGAACACTGGCCCCCTCCAGGCTTCCCGTCACCAGGGGTGCACGTGGCTGGAGGCCCCCAGGAGGTACTGTGTGGTACAGTGGGACAGGCAAGGCCTTCAGGAAAACAGCTTGCGGCAGGCTCTGCTCTGGTGGCAGGATGACAGGACCCAGGGTCAGGCGAGGTGAGGCCTGCCCTCCTGGGCCCCCAGGAACACCAGGGGCAGGAGCTGGCTGGTCCTTGGCAGACGGGGTAGGGTGGGTAGGTTCTGATGCCTCCATTCCTCATCATCTGTGTGGCCCAGGATTTATGTCAGCCTATGAGTGAGAATCACACTTTACCATGGGTGTCTTTCTTCTCCCTGTCAGAAGGGGTACAGTACCCCCAAGGAGCCTCAACAACCCCACAACACTCTTGTCCCTACATTAAGAAAGGTGTGGTGTTGCCACACTGTAATCCTAGCTACTCAAAAGACTGAGGCAGGAGGATTACAAGGTCTATCCCCCATCTCAAAATAAAACATACAAAAAGGGCTGTGTGTAGCTCAGTGATAGAGCACTTGCCTGGCGTGCAAAAGGGCTCTCTGCTGAATCCCAGTCTCTGTCTCTGTCTCTGTCTCTCTCTCTCTCTCTCTCTCTCTCACACACACACACACACACACACACACATACACATACCATATACATCCCTACACACATACATACAAACATACACACCACACACACACACATACACATACCACACACACCCCTACACGCATACATACAAACACACACATATACAAACACACACACACACACAAACACACGGAAGTCACACACATCCACAGTTATCCGCAGTGACTACTCCAGAAGGTTCAAATCTCTTCTTTGCCTACAATGACATTTGTAGATCCGTGAAATATCCAGAGCCGGGCCCTTCTCACTCTGAGGTTCTGAGCCTTCAACCAGGAGGATGACCATAGCAATCAGAACTGACCTTGGGGGGAGGGGGGGCTTCCTAGATTAGGAAACTAAAATGCAGGACTGTAAGACAAAATTTCAGAAAAAATTATGCATCATTCTTTCAACCCATGAAGTATGACCCAAATATTGCCATGATGAATTCTTGAAGTATAGCTTCTCCCCAAACCCAATGGGTCATGTGTATGCTAAAACATTACGATCTTATCGAGTTCAAATGTTATCCGGAACACTGTATGTGGCCTCATGACACAGCAAGGAGCTCTCATTGAACCTCAAGATGACGTTTAGGTCTCTACTCAAAGCCCTGTTACATACAGCTGCCACTAGGCCAGGAGGGGGAATTAATACCAGGCCACATTCTACTCCTCAAATCCTGAAGGGGACATCAGATACTGGAGGGAGATGCTAGGTAGGCTGACAGCAGCCGCCCGGCCTGAGCTGTAAGCACTGTATCACCCTCCTGAGAGTCCTCACGGAAACTCCAAACCAGCCTTCTGAAAGCTGTCTACACCCTGGGCAGTTATATTGCTGGGATGACAGGGCCAGCCTGCACGAGCACTGGCTTGAGAAAGCTGATGTTAGATTTTCCAGGAAGTTTGCAAGCCAGCTAGTAAACACAGCCTTACTTAAAATCTAATTGTACCAGATGTGTGCTACGCGCCTGTGAGCCCAGCTACATGCCTGTGAGCCCAGCTACATGCCTGTGAGCCCAGCTACATGCCTGTGAGCCCAGCTACATGCCTACATGCCTGTGAGCTACATGCCTGTGAGCCCAGCTACATGCCTGTGAGCCCAGCTACATGCCTGTGAGCCCAGCATCTGGGGGGCTGAAGCGGGAGGATCATGAATTCTGGGCCAGCCTGGGCTAAATAGCAAAGTCCTGCTTTTAAAAGTGGAGAAAAAAGAAAATTATACAAATATGCCATGAAATAAATTATGTTGAAAGACAAGATACTACAACTACATATATTCTTTTTTAAAAGAAAAGCCCGTGTGTGTGTGTGTGTGTGTGTGTGTGTGTGTGTGTGTGTGATGTGTGTGGGACGGAAACATCAGAGGGCAACTTTGGGCAATCAGTTCTGTCCCTCTACCCTTTATGTGAATCCCAGGGATTGAACTGATGCCGGACTTTCACAGCAAGCTCCTTTACCTGTTGAGTCTTACAACTCGAGGCCTGACAGCTAAATCCATATGCTAGATATATAACCAAAGTCAGTCTCTGCTTCATGCCACCCGCCAAAGAGTAATTCAAAAGCAGATCCGACATAAGTGAAAGATCAAAAGCCATAAGACACGGAGTGAGATCCGGACTTTTCATTTAGCGGTGGTGCCCAGACACGATACTGGAAGCACAGCAGCAAAAGGAAAAGTAGGGGAAAGGTGACTCATTAAAACATCTGTGCATCAAGACGCTACTGGAAAGTGAGAAGGCAATGGGAGAGAGTAGCACCTGGCGTATCTGGGAGGTGGAGAGACGCTGAGACTCAGACTGCGGTGACGACTCAGTTAGAAGTGTCTGCCATGTAGCCCGGAGGACCTGCTTGTGGGTCCCCAGAGCTATGTAAAAGCCAGGTCAGTGGTGCCTGCATGCAATCCGCATGCTGGGAAGCAGAGACAGGCCGATCCCTGGAGCTCAGCCATTGTCACCAAATCACTGAGCTCTAGATTCAGAGACAGGCTCGGTTGCAAATAAGGTTGAGGGGCCAGGAACACCACTGAGCAGGTGAAGGTGCTTGCTGCTCAAGCTTGACGACCTAAATTCAATCCCCAGAGCCACATAAAGGTGGAAAGAAAGGACTGACGCCACACAGTTGTCTTCTGCCCTCTACATGTATGCTGTGGCTCATGCACACAAATCTTCATCATACACATGCTCACATAATAACAATCCTAATAATCACAATAATAAATAGGTAAACCTCAAAATAATAAAAATAAAGTGGTGAGGTTGAGGAAAATGCCCAGGGTTGACCTCTGACCTTCACACGCATGCATACATGTGAGCACGGACATGAACACACACATACATGCTACAGAATTTTATGACTCGATGACAAAAGTCCAAATGACTCCATTTTAAAATGAGCAGGACTTACAAGATGGCTCGGCAGGTAAGGGCCCTTGCTGCCAAGGCTGACGACCTGAATTTCATTCCTGGGACCCACATGTGGAAGGAAAGAATTGACTACCACAAGTAGTCCTCTGACTACCACACATGTACCATGTCACACTCACATACCCACACATACACAAATTAATTAATTAATTAATTAAATGAACAAAGGCATTGCAGAGGCTGAGGTGAGAAAATAACAAGACTGAAGCTGGTCTAAGCTATCTAGGAAGACTTTGTCTCAAAACAAGTTTTGAAGAAAAAAAAAAAACAGCAAAATGATTTCCCACTCACTTCCATGGGATGACTGACTTCCCACTCACTAGCACAGGGCAGTAAGGATAATAAATTTAAAATAACAAATCTTGATAAGGGCTTGGAGTATGAGAAATCCCCACACACCACTGGTAGGAGTAACCATGTGGCCTTCATAGAACACAATTTGGCAGTTGTGTGGCTGTTTCCTCTGAATTCAAACCCTCTCTCCTGCAGGGAGGAAGTAGCTCCTTATATTCAAAGCTGGTGAAGTCACTGGGGCTCACTCTTACGTTATATACACAGTAACCAGTGCTGGGAGAGGAGACCCTTTGGTGGAGCTGCCTGCAAGCTGTTTGTGAGCTCCAGTGAGGCTGACTTCGCCACTCATCACACATGCTGGGGTGGGCTTCTAGATGCTGTGGCTGCCTTTGAGTCACTAATGTAACCTCGTTGGTTCATCAAGTTTTGCTTCATTTCGTTCTGTTTCGTTTGAGATAAGGTCTTCAGTCTGACTTTGAATATATAACAACCCCTTGCCTTAGCCTCATGATTGCTGGGATTACAGACATGTGCCACCATGCCCAACTTAACTCATTTTCTTCCTTGCCTGCTTCTTTTGTTAATGTTGAGTTAAGGTCTTGCTTGTAGTCCAGGCTGGCCTGGAATTCACCATCCCCCTGTCTCAGCACTCTGGATACTGGGATTACAGGTGTATGCCTCCAGGACTGGCAGATGAAATAATTTATGTGGAAACACAGAGTGCCATCTGTATCTGCCACGGATAAGAGCTGATTCATCTGTGTTTTCAATAGCATTCCAGAATATTCTGAACTATTACCCAGGGTTTCTCCCTATCCCCGCCTCTCCCTCCATTCTCTCAGCACTGCAATCCTCGATCATTGCTGGGCTGTGTCTCTAGTGTGGTTCCTAAGGAAGGCAGATTCCTTGAAATACTCAAGAGGAGCAGGAAGGCTGTAGTGAGTGGAGGAGGCTGCCCCATAGATCCCACCGTGGCCAACCAAGGTGGACTCCATGGGGGACACCCGCCAAGTCTGGGACTCACTGCCTCAGACTGCCTTGAGCGATACTGTCACCTGGCACATGAGTACTAAGGCAAGCCCTGGTGTCCCTCCTGCCTAAAAGGCCAGGCTGCCCAGGCCTTTTCTGAAATGGAGTCTAAGGGTTGATGAGTAAGGCTACTGTGGAAGTCCCTGTGGCAGAATCAGAGTCAAGACATCTGAGTTCTGAGCCCTCATCCTAAGGCAGGAAGCGTAAGGAGCAGAGCCTGAGCTGCTAACACTTCTCTGACAGTCCCAGTGGGCGGGTGGGCAGGAAGTGTAAGGGAGGGGAACCAGAAGGAAGGGAGGAGTGCTTCCCACCTCAGCCCGCCTCATGGGGAGCTGAGGGAGAGGTAAGCGGGACCCCATGCCAGGCAGTCTGCAAAGAGCAGCACGGAGCAGCAAGTGTCCTGATGGGAGGGGAACGCAGCCCACAGAGGGCTCCGTTAGGGATTAACCCGCAGACCTGCGTCCTCCTACAGAAGGATACAACTCTGTAGGAGGGAGCAGGAAAGATGCACTGAGGGAAAGTCTCAGCAGGTACCCTGGAAGCTGAAGCCCAGTGACAGGTGGCTCCAGCAAACACAAGCCCATTACCAGGGAGAACAAAAATCACAGCCAGGACTGACTGTTGTGGGTAGGAGGCTCAGCTCTTGAAACACTGCAGACCCACCCGCCACTCTTCCGGCTCTGCTCTCCCAAGGCTGATCTGGAATTAGAGCTGATCCTGGCTAGGGTCAAGCAACTGATACATACCCTCCTCTTGGGAGACCCTCTCTCTTGTCCCAGGCAAACTTCTACAAGACGGAGCTGATTTTAAACGAGGGACCAGTAATGCTGCCCCTGTTGGACTAAGAGTGAAATTAAGGGAATGGGTTGGGAAGGAA